CGATTTTCACTTACACGTGTACAGGGTGATACAAAAATATTTTTGCACTAATGTTGTATTTTTCCCTTTAAAAAACTAAAAAAATTATCTATAATAATTTATAGAGCTCATACTTTTTGTACCATTTTGTTTAAGATTTAATATTAATTTAAATTGAGTTATTTTTTAGACTTTATATCATTGAATAAGATTAGGAATAATAAAGTTAAAAATTATTTTTACTTCAGTTAGATTTGATATAGAGCACGACATAGACTTTCAGACATTTTAAAACTTGTATTGTCCAATTTTTCTAAATAAAATAAATACATATAGTTTTGAAAAAGTCACTATATACTTCTATATGAAAAACATAAAATAATAATTGTTATTTAAAATTTGAAAATTTCTATAGTAAATCTACAGAGCAAACAAAATATAAACCTTCCCATTTAAAAAACTGCAACATTAAGTGTAAAATTATAGTAGAATCACCGCGTAATATCTATTAAACCAAAAGTATATACAGGTTGTTAACTCTACAGTTACTTATAGGGGAGCAGAATGGCAACACTGCCTATTGAGAAGGCATGCATTATTGATTTTTCTGCCGACTCGTCCCGTCGCGTCGTCTATCGACGAGCGGGCCGAGGTTGCCATATTTCAACCATAAAGCTCTTGCCGCGAGTAATGAACAAATTAACAACCTGTATATTAGAGCAGTTGAAAATGAGGAAAAAGGATGTTAACTTGATTTGAAGATTTTTCGGTATACTGGGTCACCCTGTATACAGTATATGTAAATTATCATATAAAATTAAAAAAAAAATATTACAATTATTTAATAAAAGAAAAAAAAATAAGATCCAACTGATAGTTGTTGGAGGTTTTAAAAAGATTTTTTAGAAAATATAGGCAACCAACAAATCATCTTAACTTACAAAAACCCGAAAAAAAAAATAAAAAGTTTGATAACCACAGCAAGTAGGACACAATAATATTTATAATCAATATTAGGTGTATTCAATCAAATTGGGGAGTGTTTTATGTTTTTTTCTTTTAGCACAATCAAAAACATCTAAAATATAGAGCAACAAAACCAATAATATTATAATTTAACAATTACCTTAGTCTGCAAATTAAATTATGCGACAGTTAAGTTTTACATAAATACAGAACAATTAGAAACAACTGCAAAACAACAATTAGATGTACATGTAGCATCCATATATTTATTAACAAAATATAATTTTATATTAATTATACTATACTTTATAAAACACTAAATCACCACAATACACCAAAAAACTTTTACTTTTACACTGGACGCGCGTTTCGCTAACCATGTTAGCATCATCAGCAGATGATTATAAACTCTTAGCTTAGACTAACTTAGCGAAACGCGCGTCCAGTGTAAAAGTAAAAGTGTTTTGGTGTATTGTGGTGATTTAGTGTTTTATTTTGCTGTGTAACACCAAAAGTTCCAACCCTCAACTGTAATCTATACTTTATATTAGATGAAAAAATCAATAAATATATATTTTTTATTAACTCTGTTTTTTATTGTTATTCTAATGAGATAATTTTCAATATTTTACAACGATCTAAATGTTGTTTTATGAAACAAGGTAAGTAACAATAGTAATTAATACTACTATACTAATAAGCTAAAAATATTAAGTACCTAAAGAAAAATGCATCAGCAAAAAAAATTACTCTAAACTGAAATAAGAATGATTATAATATTTAAATGATTAACGTTAAATCAACAAAATGAAATATTCAACTAGAAAAAAATAATGATTGAATTTTTATCCGACTTTATATTTAAGAAAAGTTTGCAAATAACTTTAACGTCAAACACAAAGTTTTTAAGTTGAAATATCACACAAAATATTAAAAAAGAAATGCTATAATAAACAGATGGTGCCCCATGTACTCCTAGTTAATTAACTACAAAACTTCAGGTAAGAAGAGTGAATATGAAATAAATGCGATAATAAATATTATTTAAAAAAACAACTGGTTAAAATAAATTAGTTTCCCTCATTTTATATTATGGCGAATGCACTAGGCGATCCTAGAGTACATTTAGGTACAATATGAAAATACACCGTCTCTAAAAAATAAAAGAATGTGTAATATATTTTTGATATAAAAAATGTTTATTTACTTTACTATACAGGGTGTCCCGTTTTAAAAACATACATTTCATACCAATAACATTAACAAAATTGACACTTACAACATTTTTACACTGTTAAAATTAAAAAGCATGTGTGATAATCTTTAAAATCAGAGAAAAAATGTGCTATTTAATACACTCCTAATATACAGGGTGTCTTATTTAAACATTAAACATGTTTATACCAATAACTGTAACAATTGAGAGCTTATGACATTTTTGCTAATTTAAAATTAAAACTTGACCAAAAACCTTTTATTTTTTATTTATTTATCAATATTCTACCTCAAAAAATAGAAAAAAATATAAATAAGTAGTATAATGTTTGTTTAAAATTAGGACAAACAGCAATGTTATATGTAAAAAATAAAATAAAGTTGTTAAGTTAATTTGTATTATGTTATGGCAGATGCGCTAGATTTTAGAATATACAATAAAAATCGGTATTAGCGATTGTTTCATGACACACCCTGTATAAAAAGTCTTTGTTGAATGAAATGCGCAACTAAAAATGTCAGTCTACGTGTGCAAGCCTTTTTGACGACATATTATTCCTATTTATTTGTTATCGAATTTGTTCCATTTCGCTGTATTACAATTATTACATTATTATTACAAATACATACAAAATGGCTTACGTTATATAGTCTGTCCAACGAGCCGAGGAAGATTTTGACAGAAGATATCCTTAAAAATGACAGCAAATACAATTTACCTGTTAATTAAAATGACAAACACAACTGTCACTGTCATGGATCCTCTCGTTGGATAGACTATCTTACAATGATATTATAAAACAATGCAAAATAGTAGGTATATATCGATTTATTAGGAGTAAAAATGATACTTTTTGTGGCAAGGCTGTACGTTCGATCGCGAGTGAATTTATTTCGGGAGACGAAAATTCAATTTTATCGTCGTGTATAAAACAATATTATTTTCCATAGCGAGTTACGTTTTAAAAAATATTCAGAAATTATTATTTCAAGGAATTTATTACGAGTAGAAAAAATATTGTGCTGGGTTGGCGTTGGTTTCTATGTAGTTCGACAAATAAATAAAGCTGTCTCTTTAGTTGTCAGTTTTGAGTCAATATTATTTTAATTCTCTTTCGTGTCGATTGCTGATTAAATTGGAGTCAGAAATGGCTCAAAACGAAATAAGTAAATTACCAACAGATATTCAGGCTGAGGCGACAAACGCCATGTCCAAACTACCGTATGATCGAATAAAAACGGCGTCAACGATGGCTATGAAATGAAGATCGCTGTCATTTTATATGTAAAATTATATGGGAAATGTCATCGATCGTCATTTCCAAGCCAACTGGACGCCATTTTTTTTCGATCATACGGTACTTCCATTTAAATCCCGAATAACTTGAAAATGAAAGGAATACAAAAATTTATTAATTGGAAGCAATTAAAAAACGTGCGAGAAGAAATAAAGTTTTTAACCTATCCTCGCTGTTAAAGTATCATTTAATCTACCCTTGCGGTTAAAGTTCTATTTTATGTACTATTTTTGAGTAATACTATTTATACATATTATACATAAGGCAATTTTAACAGTTGCTATGAAAAAAAAAGTAATTATATATCGAGAAACTACGATTACGCTCGTTAAATTTGACATAGTTTCACACATGTCAGTTTAATAATATATTTTTTCGTACTTTTATGGCCTAGGCGTTAAAATTATTTTTTTATATCGTCAATCACGTAGCAAAAATTTATACTTTGTGGCGTTTGAAAAAAAATTATTTTATAATCATGAAAATTGACCAATCACGAAAAAAACATCAGTCTCTAGGCCAGTGGCGCATCTAGAGATTGGGTCTGGGAGGGGTAATGGCAATATTTAAGTAAAACTAATTCGAATTAAATTTTTGCTAAAAAAATTTGTTGTAACTGTGAAAAAAAAAATGGAATTGTAACTATTTTTATTTTATTTCTAAATTTCTTTCTGGGAAGGGTAATTACCCCCTTCACTCTCGTATGCACGCCGCTGTCCTGGGGTATCAAAAATAATTCACAAAAGCAAAAAAAAAAATATATGAACACAAGAATTAACAAAATCGATTATTTTACTAAAAATAACCCTCTCAGAACTTATAAAAAATGATTAAATCAACCATTAAACTATTAAATTATCATCTGATCGTAGATATAGTTAGATAAATTTCATAAAATTTAGTTTGTGTTAATACAATAAATAAAATATTTAAAAAAATAAACTTTAAAACCAAAATAATACTCGTGTTCATAGAGCTATAGTGACGCAGCTGCGCAAGCATAACATTTATAATTTTGATAATCCGGAATAAATTTAGAGTACGAGTAACTTAGGAAATTATAAATAGTACAAGACAAAAATAATTAAAAAACTACTACTATAAATAATTGGTAATGATACAAATTTATAAAGAATCTCTTTAATTCTATTAAAAAAATATTACGTTATAATACAACTAACAATTTAATTAATAATTACAATATCTAATGACCTTTAATGAATGCAAAAATAAAAGATAAATGAGATTGAAAAAACGCTTAAGAGATGAAAAATTTTAACAGATTACTATTACATTGCTCAACATATTTTTCATAAAGATTAATGCTTAGATTTTAATGATTTAAAATTAATCAAACATGCCTCAAACTAGAGGCAATTAGATAATAAATAGAGCATCAAAATAAATAAATATAAAGGCAATATAAACAGAGATAATGGCCCTATTTATAAAATAAAGTATTGTTCTTAACTAATGTTTTATTTTGCAAAAGCTTAAGAAAAAAAAAGATTTCTGTCCAGATTATCAAAATTTTACAAAAAATTAACATTAAAATGACGCCTGATATAATTATATAGTAAGAGGATAAAAACCAATAAACAAATTTATTGAAACAATAACACTATTAATGAAGCTAACGAACCTTGGTGAGACATTGAGGAGTATTGAGTCTGCTTCATGTTGAGTGAAAGAGGGAAGCAAGGAGTAGGAGCAACTGTTGATATCCATAGTTAAGAAAATGCGGAGATATCTAAAAAATAAAAAAAATAATATTAAAAAAAAGGAATATATATACATTACGATCTATGTAAAAATTAAAATAAATATATTTTTATTAATGCAATAACTATGTTTTTTAAATTATTAATTTGTATATACCCTATGAGAAAAAAACAGCATCAGAGTGGCTTTTAAAATAACAATTGATGACAATTATTTCTGCCAGGTAGACCACAATAATCATTTATAAAAAATTTGTATAAAAACAAAGAATAAAAAGTTAAAAAAATTCAAAGTCCATATTTTTTTAAGTTAAGGTTTTGAATAATAATTGGTATGTTTGACAACTTTTTCCTTTTTTTCATTGAAAAATTATTTTTGACAAGTTTTTATATCAATTTTTAACAAATTACATAAAAAAATAGACGTTAAAAAATATATATTAAAAAAATATATAACGATGTAAAAAGTAAAATAAATATATGTATATTTTTATCGGCAAGAACATACAAATATGTAAACGAATTCAAAAACTACGTCCTTCCTTAAATTAATAATTTATATATACTAGAGAAAAAAAATCAGCATCACAGTGGCCTTTGAAATGACAAATGATAACAATTTCTACCAGGTAGGCCACGATATATCATGCAGAAAAAATTTACATAAAAACTTATCAAAAATTAAAGGATAAAAAAATTAAAAGCAAGCAAAGTTCATATTTTTTTATGAAAACCTTTGAACAATAATCGGTATGTTTGAAAACTTTTTATTTTGTGACATTTAAATAATACTTTTGACAAATTTTTATATCAATTTTTAATAAACGACATATAGGAATAGACGGTGACCTCATAGACTTGTGCAGCTTGAATATTATGAAAACTTATCATAATTTTCAAGCTTGTCTATGAAATTTAGTAAGAAAAAAGAGATAAATAACTTACCAGCGATGAAGGACTGCGACCATACTAACAGCTATTAAGTACAGTCCTAAATAGTCTTTTCCTGCAAGTTTCATTGCATTTAAAGCTTTTTGATGTCCACCATAATATTTGCAGATAGTACGGCTTGTGGATTTTTAATAGCTATTGTCCCATCTTATACCTAAGATTCCAAAAAAATATTATGTAAATTTTTACTATACTAATTTTTGAAGATTTTGGAAAACAAGATTAATAAAAAACAAAACAAAAATTAATCAAAATTATATTTATGGTGTTTATTCTAGTGAGAACTTTAATATATCGTCAAGGTGTGTGTGACGAGTTATGTAATTTCAAACCAAACAGTTTTGAATAGCAAATGTTGACAATTTGGCGAAGGATTTTTTTAAATAGTTAATTGTGTGTTGTAATCAGTATAAAAAAATTGAAAGAAAATAAATCCCATAAGTATTTTATCGCGAGTTTAAATTAGCGGACCCAGAGAATCCGTAACAATATGCAACCAGTAATACAGTATCAGCATTTTATTTTGTCCCGCCTATTTTTAATAGTTATTGGCTGTTCTAATATTGGAACAAAAGCGCTCGAATATTAAAAAGTTTTAAAAGTTGTCAAGCTGTCCAATGAAATTTTATAAGATAGATAAATAACTTACCATTGATAAAGAACTGGATCCGCTCTAACAGCTATTAAGTAACAGCAGTTCATACCTAATTAAAAAATATATATCAGGTAATTTTTTATTATAGAAATTTTGAAGCTATCAGAAAACAGTCAATAACATAAATTATCTTAATATTTGGAACTATCTAAAATAACAAATAAATAATACTCATTTTGTTAATATTAATTTGAATAAGTTATAAAGAGTTATATAAAATTAAAAGAAAGACTTTTATTGATAACTTCAGAAATAATATAAAAATTTTAAATTTCCTTGATATGAAAGTTAATTCCTTGATATGAAAGATTATTATAACGAGTTATTAATGACCAAAAAATTAAATGTCTAATTTACTAGATATATATACAGGGTGGTCCGAATTGTATTCTGGAAACTTCGACAGCATATTCTGCAGATAAAAATAAGTAAAAAAAATTCGTATAAATATATGTCCCAAAATGCTTAGTTTCGGAGATACAGGGTGTAGAAGTTTCATTTTTATTTCGATTTTTTCCAAATAATTTCTGAAGTGACGTCAATATTTGGATGAAAATTGGTATCTGGGAGTATTGTGACACGAGAAATTTGATTTTGATGTCAAAATTACTCCTATTTGTAGGGGGCGCCACCTACATGTGTTTAAACTGTTTTGTAGAGTAATAACTTTTCGACCGTACCTGTATAAAACCACTGATTAAAAAAATATATATTTTCATGACTTTTTATGTAAAAAATGTCTTTTGGTAAAAATCGCTACGAGCAACCAAACCTTTGAATAAGAAGACTAAGGAAGGATCATAATGCTATCCATGGATTCATGCATGGTGGGCGGAAAAAGCGCCATAAAAGCTCTCTAGGGTGGGGATCCTTGACAGTTCTGTTTGACGATTCATTTGACACATTTGAATTTGATTTGAAATTTTGTGGATTTGTCAGTCTTTACGGAGCTTATTTTATGTTATTTTATTATTTATTCTACTACTGATAGTTGTATAAAGGTAGTAAAATCTAGATGGAAATTGTGGCAGCACTTAAATTAACAGTGACACTATCGCGATTTATCGAAAAAGACTCTAAAATAGTTGGTTGTGTAGCGTGCGGTAGATCTCGGCAAAATTGAGTGAAATAATGGAACAACTTTCGGTAGTAAGTGACTATATAATATACATACGTGTAGTAAACCGATCATTTATGAAATTCACTTAAATTAACTAAATTATATATTTTTCTTACATTTTAGCTTTTTATTTATTACTTGTCAAAGATTAGATGTCAAAGAATTTAGATACGTTAATTTGACTTTACCTGCTTCAGTAGCGTATCGGATGTTGTGGTAATAAATACTTATTATAACTTATCATAGATAAAAAGAAAAATAATCTTCTATTAAGATAGATATGAAACTTAATAGTAAAATTTTGGGTCAAAGCGCCCCTCCGTGTTCTTAGTAGAGACTACGTTTAACCCAACGCCTTCGCCTTTTCTGCTGTAAATATTTTTTATGTTTATATTTGATTTCAAAGGATTTAGTTTTAAAGTTACACTGATATATTAGTATATCAGAGTAATTTTAATAAAACATAAGAATATATATATTTTACAGTTTATTAAATATAAATTTTGACTACAAGGTAGAAAGTAAATCACAATATTTGATAAAACCTATAAGTATACCATTTTTACAGTTAATAAATAATAAAACTATTTCTGACTATGATATTTAAAATTTAGATAGACAGAATATTAAACAACATACCGGGTATTTGCAGACGCAGGCCCAAATTCAATAAAAACCAAAATTTTTCCTGCGAAAATCGGGCTTTTTTCACAGAAAAGATATTTTTTGATTTATCAACAATCATTGTCAAGTTGACAATATACAGGGTGTTTCCTAATTAGTCTAAAAAATTGTGGTGTGATTCCTCATCTGTTCTTAAAATAATTTTTATATAACCATTGGGTCTAAAGTACTTCCTTTCTGATCTACAGGGTGTTAAAAATTAAAAAAAAATCGATATTTTGCTTAACATAAATAGTACACTACTGCTTTTTTAAAGAAAATATATTTTTTTTCTTGACTGGCCATCCTTTTTCAACAAAATTGATCTTTTGAGTTTTCCTTGTTCATCAAACGGTTGCCGAGAAAAAAATAAATATACTTATTAAGAGCCTGCCTTAAGCCGTTTTCTAACGATTTTTTATTTTTTAGATTCATTAGGAAACATCCTGTATATGCATATCACAGGCAACCAAATAAACTAGTAACCTCTAAAAATAATTTTCCTACCACTAGCGACATACCGTGTTTTTAGTGAGTACTAAATTATTTTATCAAAATTTCACCATATAAGTTCCAGGCAATGATTATAACTTATCTATTTGTATTAGAATTATATAATTTTATAACAATTTAATAACTACCAACATTTATTCACAACGTAAAATAAAACAACAAATTATTGAGTCTACCCCACGTCTATCCTACATCATAGTTTTACATTTCTTAAATAAAATTAGAACGACACTGATAAACGGAATTTAAATCGGCCATATTTGAGGCCCATCGCGGTGTACCTAAGATTTTTGATATGCTCCTTCCTTAGTCTTCTTATTCAAAGAACCAAACCAAACCACAAGATATTTAGAATGGAAATAATCAATACATGTCATTATTGACAAAAATAAGCAATCGTTGAGTATAGTTATTTGACTGAAATAATAAATTTTAATATAATTTTTTCTGCAAAAATAATGATAAAACAGTTTCTGTTGAACTTTTGGCACAAATTTATGATTTCAGTCTAATAACCGTTAGTCAACAATTTTTTGTCAATGATGATAGGTTTGGATAATTTCGATTCCAAATATCTCGAGAACCATTACTTGTAGCGATTTTTACGAAGAGTCATTTTATAGGTAAAAAACGACGTAAATTTATATTTTTTTGCTCACTAATTTTATACAGGTACGGACAAAAAGTACTCTTACGTACGGACAAAAAGTAACTCTTCAAACCAGTTAAAAAATATGTAAGTGGCGGCCTCTACAAGTAGGGAGTCATATTTATATCAAAATCAAAACGACGTGTCAAAAAATATATACAGGTACGGACAAAAAGTACTATACAGGTACGGACAAAAGTAACTCTTCAAACCAGTTAAAAAATATGTAAGTGGCGGCCTCTCTACAAGTAGGAGTCATATTAACATCAAAATCAAATTTCTCATGTCAAAAAACTCCCAGACACCAATTTTCATCCAAATATTACGTTACTTCATAAATTATTTAGAAAAAATCGAAATAAATATGAAACTTGTACACCCTGTATCTCCGAAACTAAGCATTTTAGGATATACATTTATAAGAACTTTTTTACCTATTTTTATCTGCATAATACGCTGACGAAGTTTCCGGAATACAGTTCGGACCACCCTGTATATAAAAAAAATTTTACATTTATTTTGGTGGTAACTTTAGTATTTAAAAAAATGCTATGCAACCAGTAATACACTCTTAGCATTGTTCAATTAACTTTTTCATTTTTTGAGCTAGAACATTCATTAAAAAACAAATTATAGGGTTTCCTGTCAAGTTTTAATACATTTTATTGTTGTTATGTATGTTTATTTAAAAAAATAGATAAAAATAATATACAAAAAAAAAAATTAAAACTTGAGTTAAAACCTTCTAATTTCTTTTTTTTTCAATGAAAATTCTAGCTTCCAAAATAAAAAAAAGTTAAAATCTGTTAAAATATAGGGCAAAATAAAAATAGAGCATGTATTATATTGGACCAAAAGAGCTTGAATACGATGGAAAATTTAATATTTTTATAAGATTTTTAAATTTTACAAGAATAAGTTGAGAGGCATAACTTACCATTATTAAAAGGCAACAGGTGTTGAAGTCAATCCAGTAAATTACATTTTTCTGTGTCCTTTAAAGATTTTCCTTAAAACTGGAACTTGACGGGAAACAGCTGTCAAAACGTCCATTAATATCAATTTGTATTGCCTTTTAAAAATACAAAAAATAAATAAGTAAATTTTTATAAAGTCAGTTTCTTCACACATTTTGAAATAAAAAAAATGTTTTTTTTTAATATGTTAAGTAGATATTAAAAAAATAAACGCAATAGTAACTCTTTAAAATATTGTCAAATATTCATAGATTTTTACAAAAAGAAAACATACTAAATAAAATTAAAATTGTCTGATACAAATTTGTAAATAACTACAAAAGATTGAAAAAATATATTAATATATTTTCAATCTCAAACTTATTTTATTTTGAATATGAAGCCTACAATTTTCTAGTTAACTACTAAAAATGTAGCCTTAAAAATAATAAAAAAATAAAAATAACTTACCATTTTCATAGGGCAATGGTAATGAAGGCCAATCAATCTAAGTACTATTGATTGTATCTTGAAATTGTCATTTATGGGTGATTTTCAGTATCATTTTATTCAAAAAATTCCTCCGGCATTCATCAAACTTATGTACAGTTCTAACTCATTTGCAGATTTGTAACAGCAACTGTTAACGCCCAGTACATCACTCGAACAGATATCTAAAAATAAACAAATATTAATAAGTATATTAATTTGTAGCAATGTATAAAATTAAAATAAATAAGAAAACATTGTAATATCAATATAGATAGGCAAAATATAAAATTAAGTTGATTTGAATAAAAAAATTCTCCTAATAAATTTAAAGAAAATTAAAAAGTTATTAAAATATACATATTATGTGTAAAATATGTCATAACTTCCAAGCTTTCTAAAAACTTTAATAGGAAAGAAAATAATGTGAAAAAAACTTACCATTTTTGAGAGATATCTGCGATGTTGAAGTCAATTTAATGTCCTGTATCTACTGTAGAATAAACTGGTCATTTGTGAGCCTTTTCCCAGTTTAAATTAGTCAAAACTTCTTTGGTGTTTCTAATAATTCATCCAAGTTGTTATAACAGCTGCCATTCTACATTTCCACCAATAGATATGCTTGTATAATACATAAATAAATAAAACTTGATGTCCAAGATACCCATAACATCTATAAAAAAAAATAAAAGTTGTGATAAGTATTTATTTTTTGTAACTAGATGAAAAAAATTACCTTAATACAGTTGCTCCAAATTTCATTCAAAAAACTTCCGTTGCAGCCAACAAAATCCTCATTCTTTCCTCAAACATCTTCTATCTCCTTTCCTTCTATTTCAAAGCAATCCTCTTCCATCTTCTCTGGCCTCTTCTATTTTCCAAGTCTCACCAATTCTTATTCAACTACTTATATAACTAACTTATACAAATTTCAGGCGTCTTACAAACATTTTTTAAAAAGGGGGAAAAGGGATATAATGCTACAACAAACGACTACGCTAGCGCACCTACCTAAAAAAAAACTTTTTTTAGTCAAAGAAAATGATAAACATAAAGTTATAGAAATTTACCTGATGGCATCTAGAAGATGGCCCTAATCCTGCTGTTGTCCCCCAAAAAAAATCATTCCAAAGCAGTTTACTACTAAAAAGATTTATGCAGGAACAAACTGAATTTAATTTTAGTAACAAAAATAAATTACTAATACTTTAATTCTCATTATAATGTAAAATTACTTTATTTACTAATTTACGTTTAATTAAAAATCACTATTAAAAAAATTAAATAATAATATGAATTTTAAAATAAGACGAAAAATAGTTATTTCCAAATATATAATAGAAAAACAATATGCTACCTAATTTTGTCTCTTTGGAGTTATTTTTGTATTACCATTATTGCTAAAAAACTTTATATTAAAGCCTTGTATAGAGTAAGAAAAAAAGTAAAAAATGAAATATAAAAATTTCAAATTAAAAAATGAGTACTTAATGCAACATTCTGTAAATGGAGGGAACCTAAAGTTACTGCTTTGGAACCACAACGCGAACCGACTTTTGAAGTTCTCCAAGCCATACTGTATCACCTGTAAGAGAAAAAATTATATTAGAATATTTCAAACAAATACATATGCTAGAAAAAAAAACAAGCTATAGACAACAAAAAAAAACAATGCAAAAATATGAAAACTCACCATCACATCTTGCTTAAGTTCATTTTCAGTCCCATCATAATAATTATACGGCGAAAAAAACAGTGGCGTCTCACTGCTATAGGGCACATCAAATGCCCCCAACTCCATGGACTTCGGTCGATCCTCTAGAGTTGACAAAAAACACGTTTTCCAGGTATTCGACGGTGCCTGGAACAATCCGAATTTTTTTGGGACTGATTATATGCAGCATGTAGATAGAATTTCTGACTTCTTCAATCTTGTTTTTTAAAATCGCGCTGCGAACCCGGGTTGTCCTAAAACAATGAAAAAAAAATAGTTATATAAGTAACTACGTTTAATTAATTAGAATTATTATTATATCTACTATAAGTTTTAAAAAAGTTGCTCTAATTACTATACTATACTATAATTTAAATTGAAGCTCATGTATGTTGTAACAAAAAAACTAAAATATACAACACTTATATATAAAACGAATTTTGACTGCTATATGGTGCAATAAAAAAGTTATTTGGTAGAGAGT